TAATATTCTAATAATTACTAGAATTATAAATTTGATTCTAAAACCAAATTGATAAATCCTGAATATAAACATTAAAAATTTGATTGCTTGAAATTTTCATAGTTTTCTCATAAAAAATTCACATTTATTATATATAAAATATTATATATTCAGTTTATTTATTAAATCCTTTTTATTTCGAAATATATATTATTAAATTTATGATTATAAATAATTGATTTGATTAATTTATTTTGATATCATCTAATGAGAAATAAAATGTGTAATTTCTTAGAAATATTCAAATATATACTTTCATTGTCAAAAGTATAAAATTTTGATTTATTAAATCATATTAATGAGAGAATCATAAATAACACAAGGACTTTAAATGATAATGAAAGAGTGACTATACTTAATCTTTTCAGAAAACTATTTGAATGCTATTAATAATTTTTCTTCGTTGCTATTATATTAATAAAATACTTAATTCTATTGATTAACTTTTAATTCCTTAGTAATTTCCAAAATTGATAATCAATCTTCCCACTTTACATTCAATACCATAAGAAAGATAATTAGTAATAAATTTCGCAAATGAAGTTGTTTAAGAAATTACTCCACATATTAATAAATTTAGACTCCTCTATAATAAAAAGTAAGAATAATTCGACCTATCACAAATTAAAAATTTTGAATTACAAAACACTTTATCAGAATTCAAAGAAATTAAGAGGAATGAGTAGAATAATTATGATAAGTTGCTTTAAGATTCTCATAATTTATTGTAAGAAAAAGAACTCGAAATTAAATAATTTCAGCATACTCAAAGTGAACTTCTAAAAAATCAATAAAAAACATGTTAAGAACTCCAAAAGTAAAAAGATGATTTCATGATAGAAAATGCTTAAAAGAAATAAGAAAATATCTAATAGACTGAGTAATTACAAACATCCATATTATAAAATTCTTTTACTTTTTCAGAAACTTACAAATACTCAAGTTGTTAGGTATTGTAGGATGGAAAGATATTTTATAATAAAAGTGGATTTTTATCATGTTTATGCGATTAAGCTATCCCTAATTAAGGTATTGTGAGATTTAGTTTTTTAATACATGATATCGAAACTAATTCGGCTATGGTTGGAATAGGAGCAAGAGAAATAATCTCTAAATCTGGGTATATAAATATACAAACTTCAGGCAAAGGGTAAATAATATTTATAATTTTAGAGCCTATCTTATAATGAGTAGTGGCTATTGTTTCAGTCATCATCAAAAAGAGAAATATCATAATTCAATCCCATTCACTTTTACTAACAATGATATTATCATCATAGAAGTAGAGATTTAATAAAAATACATCAAGTGGATAAAAAAATCTACTAAATAATCTTTTGTATATTGTTTTTATTTATATGTAGCTCCTTGAAATAGATCCACATTATGAGTATTATCCATGTATTAATGGTCCAGGAAAAGTTGAAATATTAAATGAAATAAATCTATGAAATTCTAAATAAAATAATTGATATTTAATTTTCATTCTCTTTTTATTCCTATTATATTTTCTAAATTATTGGCCAATTCCTCTTTTTTATTAAAAGTCCTCAATATTGTTAAACTACAGTTTCAAATTAGGTTTAGAAATTAATTTAAATTAAGATATTTAAATTTATTACAAAAATAAAAAAATAGTGTTTTAGCAATGAAATACATGTCTTTCTTTTTGGCAATACTTATATGGATGGTACCTAAGAATTTAAAGAAAAAATTAAATATATATTGAAAAATTGACTGAATAGTTAAATTTATGTATAAAAATAAGACAAGCTTAAAAGTCAAGTTTTTATGTTTAGATTTGAGAATATAGTTTTGAATTATAAAGATCTCGTTCGTAATCATGTATAGACTTTTCAAAATACTTGGCTATGAATTTATAAATCTTTATAAATATTCTGACTACTATATACTATAGTCTATAATTAAATTTATTTATTCAAATTTGAAAAATTGATGATTTTTAATAAATTTAAAAATATTATCTTTGAGAATATTAAATTATTCTTTCATTAGAACCAAAATTTTAAAAAATAATAAAATCTAGTTTTGAATACATTACTAAGATGATTAAATAATATAAATTTTCTAAAAATACAAGATGCATATAGAACCAAAGGAGAAAATTTCTTTTGAAACCTATAAGAATATCTTATAATGTATTGATATTGATATTATGTAAATAGTACTGAGATTAAAATTTTGCTTTTTATCTTATTTATACAGTATGATATTACCGAAAATAATAATAATCATTTAATATGAAATCATTTTAGGTTGAAAAGGAACAGATGGGAGTCTTTAATTCACAAAAATCATCAAGATAAAATAAAATTAAAGGTAGGTCAACTGAATGTTAAGAATAGAAATTTTAAGGGTTAGTTTACTTCTTTAAAAAAAAAAAAAAAATAATAATATTTTGCATAGACTAGACTAGCATAACCTTAGAAATAATGTCTTTAATTTATTGTAATATATTTCTTTAATTTCTTTACTTTATTAAAAATTATTTTTCACATTTATTCTGATTTTTCTCAATAATTGAATCAATAATTAATAATATATCTTTAAAACCATAGTTTTGTCATCTGATTCAAAGATTTTCATGTACTTCTATAAATTTGTATCAAGCACATCTATCTGAATGTTTTAGTTATAGTTGTTTTAACAATAAAATCTTTTGCCTTTCTATCATTTTTAATTTTAAAATTTAATTAAATACTTACATTTCTTTATAGGCATTCCTTTTTAGATTAAGAGAAAATAATATAATATAATGTAATTCTAATAATAGTAAATAGGTCAAAAGGTCAATGCATGCTTTTAATTAAAATAGTAACAACTAAGAATAAGCCTAATATTGTATTGCTCTTCAAAAATATCTACAAAATATTATTTTTCAAAAAAAAGATAAAACTTAATTAGGATTTATTAACCTGTAAATTTTAGAGTTTTTAGAAAATTTAAGTTAAATAAGTTAATTTTTTGATATATAAACACTTATGATAAAATTATCTACTATCATATTGTAAATAAGAAAGTTCATTTTAGGAATGGATACTTGGCATATATTTTTTGTCCATATCTATTTTATTGACTTCAAAAAAAAACAGAATATAAAGCATATTAGAGGGCTTTATAAGATGAGTGGAAGGATATAAAAATTAAAATCTATCGTGTTATTTAAAAAATTTAATGCAGAATTTCTTTTATTCTCTAATAATAAAATTAGATCCTTCGTAAGGGTTCAAAGTTTTGATCAAGAAATGAAACCAGAAATTGGGTTCCATTTAAATATACTATTACTGGAGTGATAATATTGCTTTCCTAAATCAAATTTTATTCTCTTTCAAGATTTTCTTTGATTAAGTATTTAAAAATTCAAAATGAAAACTTTAATATTCTTATTAAATTATTTTTTACTTTGAAATTAATCAAATGTTTATTTTTAATGAGTCAAATTTAATGGTATTCAATAATTTTAAGTTCATATTTTCACTGATATAATTAAAAGTTCTTAATTTAATAGAAATGCTTTTAAACCAACCTATTGTACAGTATTAGTTGTTTTAGAGAAAATAAATATTTTAATTACAAAAACAGACTTAAAATTAAGATAATATTTATGTATTTAAGATTTATGATTTTTGTTTCATAGAGCCAAACACACCATAGAATGATATACTATTGCAGTTACCAATCAAAAAACCAGAAAGAAAGCATGAATCTTTCTCTTTTATCCAGGGATTTCTCTTATATTAACAGGGGCCTAAACTAAAATGTAGCTTGGGAATGAATCTTTTTGTTGCTTATAAGCTATTGAAAGATACTGAAATAGTCTAGATGGTGTTAATTCCAGAATAGAAAGGATATATTAAGTTATTAGAGGCAAAATCTTAAGGTAATCTTTAATTCCTCAATCGGGATTTATTGAGTATACATGTTTCTCCTTAAGTTAGGGTATAAATTTAAGACATTTTTTCCTCCTTGAATGTTTCTGGAGAGATATCTGCTTAGGGTAAATGTAAGAGAAAAGAAAAATTGATATTATGTCAAGTTCTTCAATTCAAAAAAGAGAATTTAATTCTAGTTTTTCTCTAAGCTTCTCGAATTAAAAAATATAAAAATGTATTTTTTATACTGAAAAATATTTAACTATGTGTTTATGTAAACTATTTTTATCATATAATTTATATGAGAAAGCTGATAAAAATGGAGAATAATAATTATTTAATTTTATTTTAAGAAATAATGTAAATTCTATAATTTATAATTGAGCATATTGTTTTATATAATTAGAAGTTAAGTAAAAAATTAATTATCTTTTAAATAATTCTAAGAGAGTTTTTTATTCATTTAAAGTGGTTTGGATTTTTATATTTAATGTTAATATAAATGGTTTGTTATAATAAAATTGCACAGAGTCCAGATTGATTTTTTGCATATGCATTAAGGAGGGTTACCACACTTAACATAATGAAGATGTGAAAGAGATATAAAATTTTAGATAACTTGTTGAGAATAAAAATTAAGAATGTGATAATTTGATTCATTAGCTTAACAAATAAATAGAAACTGTTTATCAATCATTTTCTAAATTTACATAAGGAATTAGAAATAAATATTAATTATCAATTGAAAAATTACTTAAATTGAATTCGAAATAAGTCAATGATTTCTTGAATTAACTCATTAAATTTGCAGAATATAAATAATCAATAATATAAATTTTAAAATAATTGACCATAAAAATGGTTAAAAATTTTGATAGTTTGAAGGAATAATTAACATTATCATCAGTTACTTATTATCAGATTAATAATGAAAAATAACAATAATTCATTTCATTATATGGTCAAAGTAAATTAGTCATCATTTTATTTAGGCTAAACTTTCGTTTAATAAGGAAAATATAAAGAGACCATAGAATTATTGAATTAAGTTATTCAATTAAATCCTAATTATTATCAAGCATTAACTTTTAAAGGTAAAACTTATCTATATTTATAGGTTAATGCCTAATGGAGCTAAACAAAAATGAAGAGGTAATGATTTGGTTACATAAGGCTTTAGCTATCAATCCTCAGCATGTTATCTCCTTATAGAAGGAAGGTAGATTTAATATTTATTAGATTTATAGGTGAATGCTTAAAATGTTTAGGCAAATATTAGGATGCAATAAATTAATAAGATAAAGTATTATTAATTGATCCTAAAAATGTGATTTCATTATGTGAAAAAGGTTGATGTAATATAATAAAATTAATAGGTCATTGCTTAATGAGATTAAAAAAATACAAGGATTCTTTAAATTATCTAAATTAAGCACTTTTCATTAGTCCTGGCGATAACATTTCCTTCGATAACAAAGGTATCTAGTTATTTTATGGTAGGTCGCTGTTTAGAATATTTAGGAAATTATATGGGCGCTCTGATTTGTTATCAATAATTATTATAGAGAGAATCTAATCTTCAATGGACAAAAGATCGTATAGGCATTTTATCAACATAAATAAGAATTTTGTTAAAAGTAAAATTAACTAATGAGTAATTAAATAATCATAAATCTATTTCTTATTTTCTATTTATTCTTCTTAAATTGTGGTTTAATAATTTAAAAAAGATAAGTATCAGTAACACTGATTTAATTCTATCTTTTTTATTTAAATTCTAAATCTAAATATTTGTTCTAATCATTTGCAAATATAATAATCAATTTAAATCATATTTAACTAACTTTGAATAAATGCTATTACCATCAAAAGATAATACGGAAAATTATTAAAAATTGTAAAATCTTCTAAAAATATGGGTTTCGATATTATGTCTGAGTCAAATATCAAATTAAGAATTATTATTTAAACATCTTAAAACTCTTTATATTTCAGGGTTAAATAAATTGGTGCTTATATGTGATAGAATAAAATGATGAAATGATAACTAAATAATATATTAAATTTTAATGAATTTAAAATTGAAGTTGAAAATAGAATAATATTTGCTCACTACTTTTAAATAAAATTTTAATAAGAATTATTTGAAAATAGCTTTTATATCTAAAAGTAATTGATGTTCACATATTATTTATTTAGAAATAGCATTTATAATTTTCGTTTACTTAATTGTTTAAATTTAAAGCTTTGAAATAATTATTGAAGTTTGCTTAATTTAATTCTTCTTTCAGGAACTTAATTATATAATCAAAATAAAAAGGTATAATCTTTGAAATTGTCTTCAAAATATCTCCTAAACCACTTTCTTCAAGTATAATATTTTTTACTCTTCTGTTATTCTCCTCCATGAATTGCATATATCTTTCTTTAGTGATTATCTTGCTATTGCCTTTAGCTTATGGATCAATTTTTAAAAAATTAATTTTCTCCCTTTTTCAAGATAATCATTATCATCTAATATAAATTATATTTCTCCATTCTTGGTTTTAATTGTTAGAATATAATAAGAAAATGATAAATAATTTAATAATTTTTTTAATTAGGGAACATTTTGGTAAACTTTTGTAATTAATTGAGATTTTAACCTATATATTCTTATTAATTATTATTTCATCTGCTGCCATTTGATTACCTGTAATTTTTGGTAAATATTTTACTTGATCTTTTGAAAGTATATATTCAATGTTTAAATAATAAGTTAATAGTATTTTTTTGATTTTAATATTAAATAATTAAGATAATTTTTACTAAATTACTAATAAAATCATCTAAGAAAATAAAATCAGTGAATTACCTTTTTCTATATTTGATATATAATCAATTCAAGATACATCCTTAATGTTTCAAACATAAAAGAAATTGAAAAATAATTCTTACAAAATAATTATATTGTATTTCTTTATATTTCAATAATATTTGATTAAAAACAAATTCATTATAACAACAGATAAAGTAGAACTTTTTTACATAAAAAATGTGATTATTCAAAAATATTTATTTGATTTTGTTGATTTAGTTTGATTCATTGAGCTTAATTTAATAAGATAAATCCTAATACTACAATACTTTCTTAAATTTATCCATTTTAAGTATTTTAACTTTAAGTATAATAAAAATATGTTAATAGCATATCACAAATTAGTCAAAAAAATTATAAATAAATTCTTTCATTTATTATAGTTATATGTTACAAAAAAAGGACAGATCAATTATAAAATACAGTAAAGAATAATTGTAAATACTCCAAAATTGGTCTTGACCAAAGTTAGAACTAATGAGAAACATTCATAAAATAGTTTCTATTGTAAAGTTATGGCATTTAATTCAATTTTCATGAGCTGTATTGTTAATATTTAAGCACTGATTCTTAGAAGATTTACATTTATTTAGATTACCAAATGAAATTTATATGTTTATTATATAATTTCAGCAATATTCTAAAGCAAAATAAAAATTTACTTGAAAGGATCATTCAGATATCATATTTCAACAAACACAAGTCAAAAATACATTTTCAAAGGAGATGATAGAAAAAGTTATAATTTGTTATTATTTCTACCAGAAATAATTAGATTCAAATAAAATTTATTGGCAATTTAAAAATATTTTTTGATTTAGAAGTTTTTTTATCTTCATTTGCTAAGAGATATTAAAAAATGACTATGATAAATCATGAAGAAAGTTATTAAAAGACACCAAATACAATTCCAATTTTAAAATAAGTTATTATCTTTAAGATATGTTTTCAAGATTCAATTCCCTGTTTTATAATAAAAAATACAATAATTGGATAGGAATTTAATGGAGATTCAAAGTTCAGACAACAATTATCAGTTACTAGTAAATTGCCTTTTGATTATTGTATTATGTACCAAACAATTTTTTAAAGGAATAAAATATGATACCAAATTCTTTTTTATAAAATCTCTAAATTATAAAAATTGATCTAAATGAGATTAAAATATTCAACAAGACAAGCATATTGATATAAATGAAAGATACAATAACATGGATATTTGAGATTCTTTTTAGTAATTAATGACTATAGATGTTTATTGTAAGGCAATACATTTTTTAATTATAAAGGATTAGAATAAATGGTGAGGAGCAAAAAGGCAAATAA